CTGCTGCTCGGGAGGCCCTGCCCAGGTTGCAGGACCCCAGTGGTCATGAACTGCAAGGTGACTCAAGCCGGGGAAGGCCTGGCTGGAGAGTACTCACACTGGTCACCAAGCCCTAGGGTTTTATGAAGAAGGAAAACGGGGTGACACGGCAGGCTGGTGAGGCAGGAAGGGCCTGGGAGGGAGATATAGCTTAGGCTCTGTCCGTATCATTTACATTTTGACCACAAAGGTGGGAGCACTGTGACCATGCTCTGTGGCCTACGTGTGGCCTCCTGCCAGTGCCAGTGTCCCCTGCTTGGAGGGGACAGCTGAGGCCCAGAGAGGGACTGCTGCCCAGCTGTTATGCCCGACCCACTGTTCTTACCCTCAGCTCAGACCCTTGTGTAGAGCTCTAGGCAGGGCTCTGTTGGCCAGGCTGCCCTCCCTTCAGTGGCGATGGCACTCACTGCCCAGGGGGTCTATCACAAGGAGCCTATGACCTCGTCGGCTGGCCTGTCCAACACAGAGGGCCCTTTCTCCAAGTACTATCAGTGCCAGGCACCATGCCGGGCAGTCCCCCATGTTCTATCTCGTTTAATCTGCACAGCCCCACTCTCTACAGCTAAGGTTCTTGGCCCCATTTTGCAGAAGAAACTGAGGCTCAGAAGAGGGAGGTAGGGGCTGGGGAGATAGCTCAGTAGAATAAGTGTTTGCCTGGCAAGCACAAGGGCCTGAGTTCAATCCCTGTTCCACAAAAAAAAAAAAAAAAAAAGAAGAAGAAGAAGAGGAAGAGGAAGAGGAAGAGGGAGGTGATTGATCACAGGCCCCATAGTGAGGAAGTTGATGGTAGACTGGAGTATCATCATAGGGGCATGTGTGACAAGAGCTTATGCAGTTCTTCTAAGTGATAGTGTCTGGCATAGGGTAGCTATGACACTGAGTTTGGGACAGTCCACCCAGCTGCCACCCTCTCAGTGTTTCTAGGCATCCATGTGGCCCTGGGCTGTGCTAGGTGGGATGGGTTGTCCCTAATGGAGTCCAGGTCTAGAGATTCTACCTGTAATGTGAGACGGGGACAAGCCCTGTCCTCACCCTGGACCTGGGTTTTCCCTTCTGTCCGTGAAATAGGTGGGCACAGTCACATCTAGTGATTGTGACATTCAGCAGCTCTGGGGCTCTGAGGTCCTTATCCGAGGTCCAGACCTGCAGAAGAGGAACAGCAGCCATGCAGCAACAGTACAGGTACCAGCAGCCAACTCTATAGTGATGGAGGTGCCATGTCTCGAGCTTGGCTGATAAGCTGAGGGGCACTCTCAGTCCCAGTTCACTGGGACTGCTGGGGGCCACATGGCAGGGGAGTTCAGGGAGGTGGGAGAATGGAGAGCAGTCCTGGAGGATGTGTGCTTCTAGGGCCCAGGGGTGTGGGAGGGTTGGGCCCTGGAGTGGTTAGCAAGGGTATATATAGGCAGCAGAGCATCCTGAGAGCTCAGGTAACACACGGGAGGACAGCTGAGCCCAGGCTGTGGCCCGTCCCCCTCCCTGAATACTCACTAGAGTCAGCCCTGCCACATTATTTCATTTTCATGTCATCAGCTCCACCCTGTTTTATAGACTCAGGAAAGCACGATTGTTTCAGATGCCGAATCTCTGTAAGCAGTCTCTAACTGCTGCACAGATTCAGGGGTTGGCAGGTCAACAGCCCACAACCAGGGAATTGTTTTTTAAATGAAGTTTTATTGAAACGCAACTCCGTGCTCTTGCTTCCGTATTGTTCATGGCTACGTTTCACAGGACCACAGCAGACAAGAGCAGTTGTGGACAAGACTGGTAGGCCGAGAAGGCCTAATTTATTGTTTTGCCTTTTACAGAAGATGAGATGTTGGGCCAGGCAAGCCTGAGCTCTAGACTTGCTGGGTGAGCTTGGGAAGGACACTTGTGTCTGCTGAACCTGCCTAGCCAACTCCGGAGAGTTGGAGTGCAGCTTGTGGCTGTGACCGTGTTTCGTAAGTTGTGAAGTGTGGTGTGCTGTCCCTAGCTTGGTACCTGGTAGGCGCTAAAGACAAGGCACCCATCATGGTGTAGGCCTTCTTGGCCCTGACTGCAGGCTGCCCCCGAGGGTGCAAGGAGACATGTCTGGGCCGGAGAGGCTGAATGAATCTTTGTCCACTCGTGCAGACTTGGCAGGTTTCAACATAAATTAAAATTCTTGTGGGGAGTCACCTTATATGTGGTGCCACTTTATAGCCAAGTCATTACGATAATTTGCAAAACTTTCTAGTGTATAGCTGGAGCCCTTTGATTCATATTGGCTGGCTATGACCTCCTTTGGGCTGCCCAGTTCTGTATTTGGTGAACACCAAGTGTTGGGAGTTTGTCCTTTTAAGTCTGGCCATAGTCATCCAGATCTGACTTTTCTGGGAATAGAATGCTTCTCAAATAGGGCCCTGCCTCCCTGTTGTGAGCTGGGAGAAGTTGAAGGAATGATCCACCCTGTTGTGAGCTGGGAGAAGTTGAAGGAATAATCCACATAATCATTTCTGTTCTTGTGACCTCTGCAAGGATAGGTATCAGGCCAAATGCTTTAGATTTGTTACCTCATTTGTCATCATGACCTTATGACATGACAAAACTGAGGCTTGATGAGAAAGCCAGGCCAGGTTCTTACTCAGCTTCAGAAGTGCCAGTGCTGGTCTGCTTGGGGTTTGCTGTGTGACCCAGGGAAGTTCTTTCCTCTCTGAGTCTTGGTTGCTTCATCTATTAATGGAATAGAAAGTTCCAGCCCTGGGCTGGGGAGATGGCTCAGTGGAATAAGTGCTTCCCTGGCAAGCGCAAGGGCCTGAGTTCAATCCCCAGTTCCACAAAAAAAAAAAAAAAAAAAAAGAAAAAAAGAAAAAGAAAACAAGAAAGTTTCAGCCCTGATACTATGGGATGTTTCACCAATTTATAAATATGAACACAGGGCCCCATACTCTCTAGACTTCCAAAAGTTTTCTTTTGCATGGGGAAGGCCAGGTCCTAGGGCCACTCCTGGCGGCTGCCCTGTGTCAGCCCCTTGCAGGGTACCCCTCTCTTGCCCCAGGGCAGCAGGGCAGGAATGTGTACCTGTCACTCCCCAGGAAGGGACCGGTCATCTCAGATGGAGTGTGAACAGGAGGGTCTGCCCATTGAGGTCATGTGGTATCAGGCAAAAGCTAGTGCCCACATTTTGCCTGGCAGGTTGGCCCATGGCAGGCAGTATGAACATCTTTGCAGTGGCAGCAGCATCTCTGGGTTTGATGTCCGCCCTTCAAGAAAGCAGGAAACGTAGGCAGAGTCTGGCATGAGCTTTGGGAGACCCCAGTGTGGGTCCCAGCTCTGCCAACAGTTGCTCTTGACCTTGGGTGGCCACATGCTGCTGGTGGTGGTGCTCAGAGTCTTCTTTCCGTAAGTGCCTTCAGGAATAGGAGGAAGGGGGCTCCACTGGGCTCAGAGCACCAAGCAGTGTCAAGCTGTGACCTGGCAGGCTCCGTCCCAAAGTTGACTTGTTAATAGATCAAAAGCTTCTAACTGTCTCTAGTGCAGAGGTAGCTAACAGAAACAGTGGTTTGTTGATAAGATTCTTTTGTCCCACAGGTTTGATTGATCTCAGGTTAGCCCGCTGTTATTCCCTGTGTGACTTTGGCAAACCACTTAACTTCTTCAGTGTTAGGGTCTTCGTTGGGGTCACAGCTGGGGATGTTTGTTGGAGGGGTGGGGTCTGCAGCTATGTAGACTGAGAGGCAGCAGGATGGCGCTTGGCCATGAGGTCTGGGAAGAATCCGTTGGGTGATGGTCTGGCCTCTTAGGGAGCCCTGGATGGAGTCAAAGGAAGGTCCCTCTCTAAACTGTGGTTTTCCCACCTGAAAAAGGGCTATACTGTACCTGCCTCAGGGATGAGCCCTGTGGGGGCCTTTGGTAAGTGCCAGCCCTGCCACCATCCCATGGCCACCTTCTAGCACTGAATGCAGCCTGTGTGAAGGACAGGTGAGCTAGTGTGTTTTTAAAGGAAGCACAGCAGGCTGCCCCCCACCCCTGCAAGACCCTGGTAAAACTGCCCTGTGTGATGATCAAGCACTGTGCTCCAAATACTATTAATGGTCATAAAATTATCCAGTGTTCTGAGGCCCAGTCTCAGAGTTTGCCTCCATGGGGCAATAAAACCACATGCAGAAACGATTTGGAGAAGGCGAGGACAGCCAAGCAGAGACAGAATTAAACGGGCTGCAGCCTGCTCTCATTAACTCGGTCCATCCACATTTGTTACCAGGGATTTCTTTTTAATTACAAAACAACCAAGTTATTAAAAATTAAGCCTGTGTGCTGTTGGCCAAGCAGCCACAGAGGCAGGACGGCAGGCAGCTGGGGCTGGGCTGGGCTGGGCTGGGGGTAGAAGCCTGGGAGCTGGGAAGTGCTGCCTAAGTTGCGGGGGGGGGGGGGGGGGGTGCTGTGGCCTCTGCCCTGGGAGCTAACTAAATCTTGAAGGGACTCTGCCTGGAGGGCTGGAGTTGGGGGTGGGGAAGGTGGACACCCTCCCATCTCGCCACCCTGTGGGCTCTCTGAAAACAACTGTCATTACACAGTGACTAGGATGTGAGGTTTGGGTCCACAGGGTGGGACAGAAACCCATCCCAGAGTGTACCCTGAGCCTCTGGTTTCTACCCCATCAAATGGGTACAAAAGAGCAGTGGAGGCCCAGACAAGCCAGTGGCCCTCACACCTGGTCCACATACTGCCTTTCTGTGGTGTAGCGTGCTCTGCAAAGCAGCAGAGACAGCACGGGCTTCTCTGCAGTGCTCCAGGTTTGTGCTCCTGGAATCCTGTCTCTGCATACTAGGTGCCTCATGTCTCTGCGCTGCTCTTTTGGCATCTGTCCCTGAGCACTGGGTGCTTTATTACTGACCCTGCTGAGTGTGTGTGGGAGTAAGAGGTCAGGGCACCTTGAGTGGCTCCAAGTATTCTGTCCCCCCTCACTTACCTCTTCTTTCCCTGTCATCCCTGCCTAGTGAATGGGAGCTATGGCCACTGCACACCCGGCTCAGAAAAGGGCCTGCTGGACCTGGACCTTGCCGAGGGCTCCGGCCCCACCTGCCACCAGAGCCTGTTTCTCCCTGTGGGAACTCCACCGCCCCAGGGCCACTCCCCTGCCTGCGAAAGGCTGCTGCATTTCCCCCACTCTCACAGGTACGTCCCAGTTCCCACCCCAGGGGACAAGCGTCTGGGCCATCAGCCTGCCTGGCTCATGGGAAACAGAGAAATTGAGGTCTAGAAGATCCTGGGACTACCTACTCTAGACCGTCCTGCTTTGTTAGGGCCTGTGAGAGACACAAAGTTTGTTTTATGAAGGCTCATGTCCCCAATTTACAATCTGATGTGGCTTGGGGGGGGGTGAGATAGGGTCTTGCTATGTAGTTCAGGCTAGCTTTGAACTCACTATATAGTCCAAGCTGACATGGATCTTCCTGCCTTCCAAGTGCTAGAATTACAGACGTGTGCTACCTAGCTTGAGGTGGCTTCTTGCAGAATCATCTCAGAAGAGGAAGAGCTGACTGAGGAGGAAAGGCCAGCTCAGAGCTCACATGGTGGCCAAACTGCACTGCTCACTGGCACAAAGGGCTTCCTGCTCTGTGTGTGTCCTGCCCCAGCAGCCATCTCCCCGCCCTGCAGGCCCTCTGGCGGATGCGCTTTTTCCTTCCCTTCTCTGGTGGCGCTGAGGACATTGTACCTGCAGAGGCCAAGGCCCCAGGACCATCCTGGGGAACAGAGAGACCAACGAGGGCCCCAGGGCCGTAGCTGCACAGAGCACTAGGAAGCCTTGGTGTAGCAGTAGTAATAGTAACAACAGCACCATGAGCCCTGCTCTCTCTTTCCCGGAGGGTCATTGCTTATCCTGACCACCACCCTCTGAATTCACTGGTGGGTGGAAACGTGAGGCTCCGAGGAAGAGAGCTCACACGGGCTCTGAGACTTTGGGCACAAAACCAGGTGTCCTGTTTTGTCATCTAACAGGGAGATTCTCCACCCACCTAACCGTCCTGACTTCTCAGCTTTTTGGAGTGCTGTGGACTCCGGCCTGCCCAGGGTCTCTGCCTGTACCTTAATCCCTCCCCATGGTAGGCACCCCTGTCTGAAAACCCCCTTATCTCTCTGCATATGACCTTGTAAAGAGCAGGGAGCATGTCCCACACTTGGGAGAGGGCCCCTAGGAAACTACCACTTATGTGGTAAAGACAGCTTGGGTCTCTGGATCACTTTACTATCACTGAGGAGAGAGGCCTGGAACCTGCCTGATTCACAGTTGTGACAGAGCTGAGCCTGGCCTCAGACCTGGTCACCTCCCACTTGGACCCTACTGGCTTGCTCTGACTTTTCTTGAGAATTGTAATTTCTCCCAGTTGTGGTGTTTAGGCCTGAAATTCCCAGCCATGCCCAGGCCAGGCATTTCCTTAGGGCTAAGGTGCCCTCTTGCCTTGGCTGTGCCTCAGACCCCTACCACTGATGTGGGCAGTGCAAAAGACAGACTGCTTGGGACAAAACTCTTTATATAGGTAATATCTTCAGAAGTTAAGAAAGGAAACGTGGAATTAAAAGCCTGCTGGACCTGGGTGTTCCCCAAAAAGTCCACCTCCAGCTTTTTCCTACAGTATCACTAGGGCCGGGACAGGGCAAGCAGACAAAGGGAGCCTGGGGGTACGGTGGCCCTTGGGCTGCTAGAGGCCAGGCTGGGTTTTCCAAAAAAAGAGCTGTCCTTTGTGGAGTCTCTGCTTTTACCTGTCACCTTCTGCCCTAGCCACTCCCATCTTCCCGTTGCCCTTTTCCTTCTCATGATCTTTCCTGCTCTCAGGTAACCAATTTCTCTCAAGTGACTAGTCTTTTCTTCCTCTGCTTCTGGGCTTTGACTTTCCTTTCCTCCTCTGGGTTTCTTCATCTCCTGGTTCTCAGCTTCCCCACCAGCTGCTGCCCGGAACTCCTCACTCTGCTGTGTTGCACTCTCAAGACTTCTCTGGCCACTATCTTCCAGGTCACCCAGGCCCCAGGCCACCTATGTGAATGGTGGCCTACCAGCCACACAGCACATCAAGCAGGAGTCCCCGCCCGACTTCCAGGCCATGGCCGAATCCCACCCACCCCTACCGACACACTGCCGGGCCCCGCCAGCCCCAGGACTGCACACAGCGCTGGACCTCCCAGGCCGAGGCCTCACCAACCCTGCCTCTTCCTGCTACCTTCTGGCCAGTGAGCCTAGCCCGGGCCTGGGCCCCCAGCCTGAGGCCCACCTGCCTGAGGGCAGCCTGAAGCGCTGCTGTCTCTTGGGCCTGCCTCCAGTCTCCTCAGCCTCTGCCTCACCTTGTGTCTCCTCCAATGTCACCCCAATCATCTGCTCCTCCCAGACAGCTCTAGTCTCCTGTGTAAATGGACTCCGGAGCCCCCTTCTGCAAGGAGACATCGGGGGCCCTCTCAAGCGGTCCCAGCATGGCCCTGCATCCACTGAGAGCCAGGAGGGCAGTGTGCAGCTGGAAGAGTGCCAGAAGACGGGCTTCCTGAAGCAGGAGCCTTCGGACGAGTTCTCAGAGTTCTTCGGAACTCACCACCAGGGCCTGCCACCTCCCTACCCCCTGCCTCAGTTACCAGCCGGCCCAGGCCTGGGAGGCCTGGGGTTGGGCCTGGCGGGCAGGCTGGTAGCAGGTCGGCAGGCCTGCCGCTGGGTGGACTGCTGTGCAGCATACGAGCAGCAGGAGGAGCTGGTGCGGCATATCGAGAAGAGCCACATCGACCAGCGCAAGGGCGAGGACTTCACCTGCTTCTGGGCTGGCTGTGTGCGCCGATACAAGCCCTTCAACGCCCGCTACAAGCTGCTTATCCACATGAGGGTGCATTCGGGTGAGAAGCCCAACAAGTGCATGGTAAGTCCAAAGCCTCCTGCCTTGCCCCCCTGCCCCAAGCACAGCTCCCTGTCAGAACAGCCAGCACCCTGTCTCTGGGAGCCCTGGCAGGCACCTTGGCAGATGCCCTGTCTGCTGCACCAGATGTAGATTGTGTCAGATGTGCTTAAGTGTGCCACAGGTATAACCTGCCTGCCTTCTGTTTCATTTGCATGTGCCCTGTGCCCATCCTGCTTATAGCCATCTGATAGGTGGGGCCTGATCTCTAGCATTGCACCTTCACCGGGTAGCCTTCCCAGGGGCTTCCAGGGCCTTCTTCTGGAGCTCCCTACACCACAGGGTTGCCCCTGGCTTCTGACCTGAGAGCTCTGGGTTCCCAGGGCAGCCTTCTGGCTAAGGTCAAGCAAGGCCCTGCGTACATTGCTAGTTTTTTTTGCTGGGATTGAGGCTAAGGTTTGTGGGGACAGAGACACATGAGTATACATGGTTACCAGTTCATCTGTAGACACATGTGTGCATGCACACACACATAGATGCACACATGTACCTCCACTTGCCGGCACCCTGGCCTCTGGCTCTTCTGGCCAGTCACTCTGTGCTCTGCTCTAGAAATCTGCATCCTAAATTGAGAGCTTAATCCTAGTCCCTGATACCTCTACCTCATTACTGCACCTGCCCCCAGGGACCAGCCAGTGCCCAGGGAACAAATATCTGGACTGCCCAGGAGCTGAAGGGCTGGGCTTCAGGGCACGCAGCACTCCTCAGGAAGCCTGGGCCACCCTAGCCACAGCTCAGCCTTCCCAGTAGGTGGGCTGCAGCATGTCTAGTCTCCAGGAGCTGGTGTCCTAGCCAAGGTCTAGCTCTTCCACCCTTGTGCATTGTCTGCTCAGCCCAGGGTGGAGTTTATAGGGGACAGGCAGAGGCTTTGAACTCACCTTGCTCACCCTCCTGGAGCCAGTACTCTCTAAAAGGGCCTTCCTGCCTGAATCACTTTGAGGTAGGCACATACGGGTTTAGCACCTCAGGCCTTGAAGATAAGAAGGGGTTTGGAGGTGGAGGGAGCCAGGCTGGTGTCCTGGAGGTGGAGGGAAGGGAAACTGAACTCATGTGCCTTGTTTGGCTGTTGGGAGGGTGACAGGCTGAGGCCTCCCCAGTTTGTTTGGGGTCATGTGACAAATGGCTTGATGGAAGGTGCCTAAGAAATGACTAACAGTCCACAGGCCAGGGTTGCTAGAAGACAGAGGGGCTGCCTTTCTCTGAGACTCATGAGTAACAACTGAGATGCAGTTGTGTCACCGTGCTGCAATTCTCCCTGTAGGGAAACTGAGATGCAAAGTGACGTGAATGTCCCTGCTAACATCTGTAGGGGCTTAGTGGCCACTGTGTGGTCCCATGAGCCCTAAGATGATGGGGCCTCAAGATAATCCAGGTCTTCCCTGCTCACTTCTCAACCTGGGAAATGGAGGCCGAGGCAAAGGGCTGGGTTACTTAGTGTACCACAGCACAGGGCCAGCCTGCCAGGACTACATTTGGTTCCAGACTCCATGGGACATGGGCTAACATACACATGGCTCCTGCCCGATCCTGGGGACCCAGACCTAGATCTGCCACAGTCTTTGCTCCAGGAGACCTTGTGGGAGACTGTGTGCTGAAGAGATAGGTTCCTGAACCATTAAGGGATAAGGACAAGTGACAGATCCTGGGTTGGAGTTTGCTAGGCCCAGGAAGGGAAGCCCCCAACCCTGGCTTCATGGAGGAGGTATAAGAGCTCATTGGCAATCTTATCTATTCTTTACAAGAGTCCTGGGAAGCCAGGTGTTGTGGTACATGCCTGTAATCACAGCATCTCTGGAGGCTAAGACAGGAGGATCACAAGTGCTAGGCTAGCTTGGGCAATTTAGAGATACCCTGTCTTAAAATAAAAAGGGCTAGTTCAGTGGTATAGCACTTGCCTAGCAGGAGGAGGCCCTAGGTACAATCCACAGTATAGCAAAAAGAAAGCAAAGGGTTTCTATAGATAGGGAAATAAAGTCCTGGTAAGTCTGCCTAACCTCCTGTTTGCTCCTAGAACCCTTGGTCTTGACTTTTCATGGTTGGGAGTACTGTGATGACAGCACTCACATGCAGCTGCTGAATGCTGACTGCCTGAGTGCTGTTCTAGGTGGTAGGTCCATGTGGTCTGCAGCACAGCCCCTGGGTAGATATTATTAGTCCTCGTTTTCCCTATGTGGAAATGGGCTCAAAGCGACTTATAGTGGCCCCAGATCACGCAGTTAGAGATAATAATAATGGCAACAGTAATAATAAAGACTAAGAATCACAGTAGTAATAATAATAACTTACCACAGTTACACCAATAGGTATGGGTAGAGTGGGATTTGAACCCACATTTTCTAAACTTTGAGTTTCTTATTTGTGTTGCTCTGTTAAACTGAGGATTACTGGAGCTTGTGGGCTGGCCCTTCTGGGTACCACCCTCCACAGATAGTAGCAGCAGTGATCACTTCTCTTTACCTGGGCCTCCTGCTGCCCGGGAGCAGGGGGCGGGGGCAGAGCGCTCCCTGCATGGTGCCAGTGTAGCGGGTAACCCAAGCGACCAGGCAGGCCCCAGCCTGCACCCAGAGAAATACAATCTCCCTTCCCTGTAAGGTTATTAATTTCTCATGACAGGCCTCTGCTACCATGCGCTGTAATAGACAAAGGAATTTTGGGCCTGAAGCCTCTAGAGAACAGGAAATAGATGAGACATTTTGATTGAAGAGTAAATGGCCCACTAAAAGAGCAGTTAATCCTTTTATTATGTTCCCAGCAGCCGTTTCCACAGCCCTTTCATGAGGTAAGCTGCCCTCTCCCCATTCAACTCTAACACCATCCTCCCAGCTGGTTCGCATTTAGTTGGTGGACCCTGCTTGCAGGATCGGACCAAGCAGGTTGGTCCCGAGGCTGGGTGTGGACCGGGGACCTGCTGGCCCCCAGTGTAAGCCTCGTCGCCTGTCCCCCATTTGCCCCCTCTGCAGTCCGGAGGAAGCTCCTAATCTCTTTGCAATATCCTGTTATGTTTCTTGTGTTGCTCGAGTTGTCTTAGCCTTATTAAATTTGGGGCTTCCTCTGCATTATGATAACAGGGCTACATCCAATCCAAATACTGACGCGACGCCTAGGAGACGTTAGCGTTGAAAAGATTAGTTTCATGCTTTCTTGGGTTGGTTCTCCAGACGTCGGAATCCTGTGTGTCTGAGACTGTAGAAGGACATGGGGTAAAAGAGAGGCAACTTCGCAGAATTGAACCTTTCCTGCCTTGGGTTTTATAAAATAACAGGAATAAGAACAAGGATCCTTGATTGAGGGAAGAGTTTAACTAAAGCTGTGACCTCTCATGGAAAGTGTGGGTAGCGGTGAAAAAACTCAGGCCTGGATTTCTGCAACCCTGGGTCCCGGCCTGTCTCCATCCGCTGTGCAAACTCAGGAGGCAGGTGATGGACTCTCTTAACCATAGCATACTCGTAAAATGGGGCAAAAATATACTAAGTCCTTGACTTCTGGGGGAACATTTGTAAGTCAGATTCATTCATAATTGACAAAGTGAGTCTTGTACAGGACACCTGTGAAAGTTTGGAACTCAAATGTTCATGAATGGGAGACTTATTGTCCTTGTTTCTTAGGGATTTAGTTCATTGAAAGCTCTTGGTTAAATCTCTTCTTCCCCCATCACACCTTTCACATTGTTCATCTCAGGAGATGAGTACAGAGGCCCTAGGAGTTAGGAAAAGTGCTTAGAGCTTTTTAACCAATAAAGATATTTGTGGAACCTGCACTGGAAATTGACAGCATCCGGCATCCGGGCTCTCAGGGAGGAGGGCAGGGCAGCACACAGGTGCTCCCACGGGGAGTTTGCTGCTTTGCCACCAGGGAGCCATTGCATCCCTCATTCAGCCACTGCAGGTGGCTGCTCTGAGCCACACAGTGCCTGGCACCACTAGCACGGGGCAGCTGGGGTAGTGGCACCAGGAGGAGGCTCTAGTGCCTGCAAGCAACATGAGTCCAGGACAGGATCTTTGTGCTGCCCAGGTTCCACAGTGGCTGGCTGGGCTGCCCTGGCTGCTGCTCTTAACCTTTAAGCCCTCTCCAGCATTTGTCAGACTGTCCCAGGGACCTTCAGGCACCTGGGCAGAAAGCTGAGCATTATTGGTTGGCCTTAACTAGCCAAGGATCTCAGGATACCAGCCCCCTAGCTGGCCTTCCTGGGCGAGCCTCGACCACTAGCTACCCTGGAAACAGACTTACTCCAAATGCCACAGTCCCAGGCTTCTGGCTTCCCCTTTTCACCTTGTTCCAACCTTCTAACCACTACCCCTACTGCTCTGAGACATGAAACCTTGGCTGCTAGGCTGGGTGGGGTGATAGATAGCTGCTGATTACTGAGCTTCAGAGAACCCTCCATCCTGGTTGCATGCTAGCTGTTGCCTGTACTATTTTCAGAACAAAACTGCTCAAGACTCTAAGGCCCAGAGAACCCAGATCACTTACCAAGAACACACAGCCTGCTGAGGGAGCAGCAGCCAATACCAACTTGTCTTAGTTACTCTCTTGTTGGGACAAACTATGCAATACTAGCAAGTTAAAGACGGAAAGGTTTATTTGAGCTCACAGTTAGTAGAGGTTTCAGTCCACAGTAGGCTGTTCCAAGGTAGGGTGGCATGGGAGAGGAGAAACAAGCCCTGGCATGACAGGCAGGAGACAGAGAGCAGCATGCTTTCTCTTTCCTTTTTATTCTTCCCAAACTACAAACCTGTTGGTTGGTGACACCCACACCTGGGGGGGGGGGTATCCATTATCCACACCCAAAACTATACTAAACCAATTAAGAAGATTAATACAACAAAACTCATCCATAACCCAGTATCTGCACCCGTGATCCAGCCACCTCCCAAAAGCCTAACCTGTGAGCTCTGGGAGGACGTCTCGCTGTAAACCGCAACACAACCGATCAGTGGAATGACCCAGCTGAGCTCAGAGGTGAA